TATATAGATATTTGTAAATAAGAAAAATTAAATTGTCTATGAACTTTTATAGTGACTTTGATATAATTTTACACATAATCATAGTAACTAAAAATTAATAAGTCATACTTTTAGTCAAATTACTTATATATAAATAATTATATGAATTATTTTAGTCATTCATATAATTAATGTATAGTCATTAATTACTTATTCTTTAATTAATAAGGAATAGGCCGTAACGTGGTAGGAAAATTAACAAGTTACTTAATACACTTTCAGATTTTTTAAAATTTTCTGTATGCAATATTGTTCTCATATGAAAAATCATAAAAAGTTAGAAATTCTGATATATGTTTTGTAGAATTTTCAACAAAAATTAAAAAGTTATAACGCTATGATGAAGAAATTGGGGTTCTTATATCTTGGGCCCTGCCAATTGTATGACTTTATATTTCTCACTGCTAACATCTCATATGTCTCTCATTTGAGCAACTTCATCATACCATGTGACATTTAAAACCATTGATCTAATTTACATTGACAATACTATCATATGTTGAGCATCTTTTTCATTTAGAATGTTATTTAGAGTTTGTTTGGTAACACATAAAATGGATGAATCTATTGAAATTGATGACATTCTTGCTGAAACCGCTGAACTGGCTGAATATACTGAATTATGGGAAAAATAAATTTGAATATATTTTATTGCTAAAGTAAATAAAAATTTGTCAGAAAAAGTAGCTAAAATTTTCGTTTATAATAGTTTCATTCAATTCTGGCAAAATATTAATTTCAACCTTTCATATTTTGATCATTACACAATTAAGCTCTTGATATCAAAGTTGATTGATAAGATTGACAAATTCAAAAATAGGGTCACCAAACAACACATAATTTAAAATGAAAAATGAGCATATAAGCATTTTTGTATTATATAAGGGCTGTTTTTTTTTTATTATAGTCACTAAATGTCAATAAATCATATTTTTATCCATTATCCTTTTTTTGAAAATCTATTTTTATTCAAAGTGTTATAACCTTTTCAATTTAACTCTAACTTTAACAAAATATATTAAAATTTACAATTCTTGTGACGTTTCATATGACAGTAATATTGCATTTTTTTAAGATGTATCAAACAACATCCTGTTTTTTAACAACGATATCAATCATCTCGTATTAAGTAAAGAATTAATCTATAACTATGACTTATTCTCAATTGTTAGAAGACTTATCTTATACCTAAAAGCACTATATATGATATCAAAAAAAAATCGCTTTATAGTCAGCCACCTTATGACCTAATCTCTTATACATAAAATCTTATACCTAAAAGACTACATATGAGAGAAAATTATTCACTCATTGTTAACCGGCTTACCTTATACCTAAAAGCACTACATATGAGAGAGAAAATTCTCCCACTCAATTATTAAGTGGCTTGTGTTATACCTAAAAGCACTATATATGAGAGAGAAAATTCCTCTCAACTATTAGCATGTTTATCTTTTACTTGAAATTAAAGAACTACAAATAAGAGAGAAATTTTTCCCACTAAATTGTTAGGTGGTTTATCTTCTTATACCTAAAAGCATGATATATGATAGAAAACATTCTCCCGCTCAATTGTTAACTGCCTTATGACATAATCTTCTTATACCTAAAATCTTATACCTAAAATTACTAAAAATGCAATATTGGTGTCAAATGAAAGATCGTAAAAAATTATGAATTTTGATATATCTTTTATGAAAATCGGAGAAAAAATGAAAAAGTTATAGCAATTTGAAGAAAATGGTATTTTTTTTTGTATAATGGGACCCATATGAATAGATGTCACGTTTCTAATAATACAAAGGAGTACCAATGCTTAAGGTTCTTTGGCTCAGTGTTCCGTTTTAATCCTTCAATTTGCCACATGGCATTTGTATAACAAATGAGTGAATTATGGAGAGAATGACACATGGATCTTTTAAAGGACAAAAATGTATTTTATTGAGCTATTTCTTTTCTTATACTCCCTCAGTCCCAAATTGTAAGATACATTTACTATTCACTTGGTCAACTTAAATCACTCTTAATCTTTTACTTTATATATCAAAAGTTTATGAAAATTGAATTAATTTTTGCAGGTTTTGTAACGGTTTTTATGTAGTTTCTGGATATGTAAATTTTATTTTTTAAAACTAATTTGAGTGTTTACAGGGATCAATTTGCTTTATCGTCGGTCAAATATCGTAAACCGTAAAGTATCATACAAAATGGGACGGAGGGAGTATATAAATAGACATACACGACGACTTTTAAAATTATTACATTCTAAGTTTAGACAATGGAAAAATAACTATGATTTATAATTGAAATGCTCTAGAAAAAAGTATTGATACACTAAATCGTAAGAAATAGCAAACCAAAGGAAAGTTATTTGAAGATAAAGAGTTTAAAAGGTATACATCTACCAATACTTTTAAAATAACTATTGCCTTGTTTAACCACACGAATCATGGTGTAAAAAAACCACATGAATCTTTATCACAATAAAGAATTCATTTTTAAATTGCAATAGTATGTATGATATTATTATTTTTAGAATAATATTATATTGCTGATTCATATATATGGTTCATATTATATTTGCATTAATGCTAAAATAAGTTAAAGTTTATTATCTATGCAATAATTAATTTGTAGAACGTAACAAGTAAATGAATTGTGTAATTTAATGTCAATAGAAATTTATATTTTGGATTCACCTCACATGATCTAAGAACATATATAACTTATGTGTCTGGTAGTTAACATCGTTTGATATTTTACAAAGTACTAATTATCTAATAAAGAAAACTAAACATTACAAAACTAGGAATTTTTATATATAATAAATATCCTAAGTCTTAAACAATGATGAGAGTTGTTCTATTGTTTATTTGCTTAAGTATGTAAATTATTTTAGACGTTTTTTTCTTTTAAATCTCCGATCAAGTATTACATTATGTAGGGCTATACATTAATCTTGAAAACTAAAAGTTAAGGGGGGCGAACACATATATATCTAATTAGAGTATGAAAAATTTGTGAAAAGATTACATATACTAGTATAGGGATGATGGACAGGTTAGTACAGCCTGTCACTGTTCACGGTTGACCAAAATTTGAATTTCAAATTCAAATTGATGCGGCGCTTGTGTGATGCGATGAAGCCCTAGGGCGCAATTGGGCCTGGATTTGGGCTTCGCTGGATGTGGCTAACTGGGATGCTATTGGACGCAGGGAAGGGCTGTTCATGGGCCTGGACTGCTGGATCTTTCGTGACTTCTTTGACACTGCTGGGCAGTTACTGGGCCGCTGGAGCAAAGCTAAATTGGAGGATGGGCTTCATTGCTTCGGATTCCTTGGGCTTTGCGGGCGGCGGGCAGATTTCCTTTGATGTTTTTGATACGAGTCGGGGCATGTCCCGTGCCATTTTGGATTCTTTTGAAAAACTCTCTCCCTCGCCTACCTCCCGCAAGGGTGGGGGGTGGGGGGTTGAATGATGGATACTATTTTTAGTTAGATTATCTAGATAGATAGTTTTGATACATTGTATTATGTTATTTTTGGGTGTCTAATAAAATTACCTTTCGTCCAAAAAAATGGAAAAAATTGATGAAAGGTAATTTTGTGCGGGATCTGATCTGATCTGGTCTGGGACTGAAAACAGTCCAAGTAAAAGCATCCTTACTTTCCTGATTGTATGTGTGTACGACGCATATATCGGTTCAAGTGATAAATGCATCCAATGTGAGAAATGAGAAAGAATCTCAACCGTTGAATTTACGTACGATGTTGCACTAAAACAGCTTCATGTTGCAATAGGATCTATATTTTACGATGTTGCGCTAAAACAATTTCATGTTTCACTAGAGATGTGTAATACTAATTTTTCAAAGTATTTATGAAAGTTCTACCTCACATGGTTGCATATTACACTGCAACTTGAAGCGCTTTTACTACAACCTAATTGAATCCAACGACTAAGATCTATTTTCATTTCTCTTCTAATGTCTTCTTCTTATTGGAACCTCACCAAATATGTGTGTGTGCGTGTGTGTTCCGGATCAAGTGAGAACAATGTTTATCGTGAGAATGTGATAGCAAACTCTTTTACCCCACTGTTGTGCACAATGTACCTCGTCTATTGCACCTTTTGTGTTGCCATTATATAATTTATATTTATCGAAGTGTCCCCTCATTTATTTGATATTGGTTTGGTTTGGTCAAAGCTCAAAAAAAGTTCTTAAGGTGAAAAGTGAAACTTTTTCACTTTTACCTTGCTACATAGCACTTTTCGTTTTCAATTAGGCACATTTTCGCATTGGGAAAGACATCACTTATTTACAAAAATGTCACCACATTTTTTACCAAATTTGAGGCACCATTGCATTGTTGACATTTTTAGAGCCATCAGGTCTTAAATTCAATGCACACAAACCATTCACATTTTTCACAATAAAACTTCTCACATAAATTGTCACTTATCATGTTCGGTAATTTTTATATTGTTGTAATTCATTACGGAGTATTACTTTATTTATACTTGACAATTCAATATGTATCACATAATTGCATTTCATAATAATGATGTCACACATGCATTTTTCAATCTTAGTCGAATAATGTAATACAGAGTATTATTTAAGGATGGATTAATAATACATTTAAATTAATAGTAAAAATATTTATTCATATACTCCCTCCGTCCCGCTAACAATGGGACAAAAGGGGGTGACACGCAAATTAATAAAAAATGGCTTATGTGGTTGATATTGAATTGATAAAGTAAGAATAAAGTAAGAATGATTTAGAGCCACGCAAACTTTACCAAATTTGGTATGAGACAATCTTATTGGGAGGGACCGATAAGGTAAAATGGGACAATCATAGCGGGACGGATGTAGTAATTCGTAATGATAATTGATATTGGTGATTTGGTGGTTGGTTTTAGGATGGAGAAATATAGAAAGTGAGAGAACAAAAAAGAGGAAGATGAGGAAAAGAAAAGGGAAATGGGAAGGTGGTTGAACTCCCACCTTAAACACCGGTGCAAAGTTGGCGTACATCCAATAAAGAAAGATCTGCCTTCCAATGTGAGGCTACATTCATGAAACAACAATCTCTTTTCTACTTTATTTTCCATTTCACCACCATTAACTTCATCACATTCTTCAATTTCCAAATTTTCGGACAAATTCTGGTAATTGCAATTGATATGATGTTAATGTACAAATGATTTCCCTCTATGCATTCATTCTAAAATTTGTTCTCTTTATTAACAAATAGATTTAATTTTTCAAAACTCAAAATCAAAATATGATGTTAACGAGATTATGTTCTCATTTGAATTTGGTTCCTATACAAATCCCACTACTTTTTCATACATGGTCAAAGGCAGAAAAGTAGTTTCCCTTTGTGCTTATTTCTTGTATATGTCATCTATTCGGTTGAATTGTGAATATTCTATATATGTGTTGAAGGAATGAAATTCATTTCTAATCATGTTAATCACTCAAAGTGTAGCTTTCTAGCTCTTTTAAATAGCGAGCATAACAAAAAAACATAATTCATTTTACAATATGATGAAATGATATCTTATTGACGTTTCCTTAATTTGCAGTGTAGGAGTTTTGTTCAGATGAAATTTCTTGTGTCCACATGCATTTTTGTGAGGTCATAGAGCTTTTCAACCACAAGTTGATTCCTTCTGCTAACCATTCACAATCTATGAAATTGTTTGTGCACAATGTTTAAGTCGCAATATATTGATGGGCACAAAGAAAAATTTGTGAGGTAAACAGCTAAGACAATGGCTTTCTAATGGTATTGGTCTTATTTGAAACATTGGATGCAATTTTTATTATGCCTTAAGTAATAAATTTTATGTTTGGCGATATAGGTTGGATGACCTTGATTCTAGGTTATCCTTTAAATCAGATATGGCGGGAGTGACAAAATGTGGGTTTAGTTTAGAGGGATTGAATCCTGGTGGACGCTCTAAAAACTCATCAAAGTCAATTAAGTTGGGTATGATAAGAGGGTCTGAAGGACTAATGACATTTGGTCGTTCACTAAAGTCTGGAGTTACACGAGCTGTGTTCTCGGAGGATCTCAAAGTCTCTGAACAAAAGATATTTGATCCTCAAGACAAGTCTCTACTATTCTGGAATAGGCTTTTGGTTATATCATGTATATTTTCCGTATCAGTTGATCCTCTTTTTCTCTATCTTCTTGTGTTCAAGAGTGAAGATGGTTGTCTTCGTTTAGATACAAGTTTAGCCTATACTACTACCACTCTACGGACAATTATTGATTCATTTTACATTATCCGAATGATTCTTCAATTCCGCACGGCTTATATTGCTCCCTCATCTCGGGTATTTGGTCGAGGCGAACTTGTAATAGATCCTAAACAAATAGCCAGTAGATACATACATCGTTACTTTACAGTTGATCTTCTTTCGATTCTTCCTATACCCCAGGTGTGTTTCAATGACTCTTCCTTGAATCTATCATTTCACATGCACATTATCTTAGCTATAGTATTATGGTTTGTCATTTTCTGCAAATCTTTGATCTTCAGTTAGAAGCATGTTAACTAATCTAAAATGAAGATATTACTCCATTGTTGACCGCAAATCTATTTCAACTTTGATTTCTACATTTATTTCCTTGTAATTTGTAGATTGTTGTCTGGAGATTCCTTCATGGATTAAAAGGTTCAGATGTATTGGCCACAAAAAGAGCTCTTGTAGTCATTGTCATTCTTCAGTACATTCCTCGATTTTTAAGATTTGTACCTTTAAATTCGGAGTTGAAAAAGACGGCCGGTGTGTTTGCTGAAACCGCATGGGCAGGTGCTGCATATTACATGCTATGGTTTGCTCTTGCTAGTCATGTGAGTAGCTCAATGGGTATAACTGTCATATTTCTATAAGTGTCCATTTATTAATAACATAGGATGAGTTGTATGATTGTCATAGTTCTTTACATAAAAGTTGTTGTTTTGGGAGTTTTTATGAAGCTTTAGAGTTCCATCAACACTTAATAAGCAGTCAATGAAGAGGTCTTATAGGTAAGTTTGCATCTTTGCACTCAACATAGTGACTTATTGTAGCAAATGATCTTGAAGTCTGCATGTTGGTTGTTGAAGCTTACTATGTTAGTAAATCGTTTATGACACTTGCGTGAGATCTTTCATGTGCCAGAACTCTGAATTTAGCAAAAAAATTCTAGTATGTAATTTTGTTGCGCATAATATGTAGATATTTGGGGCCTTCTGGTACCTGCTAGCCGTGGAACGTAAAGATGCGTGTTGGCAGAAGGCATGTAAAGACAATGAAGAGTGTAATTCAAAATTTTCTCTATTGTATTGTATGCGTGAAGGAGAAGGGAAGATAGATATGGTGGCCTGGAGAAAGATCACCCAAGAAGTTCTTGAAAAAAATTGTGTTGTTGGTAATGGTTCACCATTTAATTATGGAATATATGAAAAAGCCGTGTCATCGGGTGTTGTCGACTCTAACAATTTCATTTCTAAATATTGCTATTGTTTGTGGTGGGGCCTACAAAATCTAAGGTAACTTTTTCTCCATATCTACACATGTCCTAAAAAACACTCTGCATATGCTCGTAGAGCCATGGTCATTTCTCGAATTAATTAAACTGACTTTGACCCTGAATGATGAATGAGATACTTTTGTTAATATTGTCCACTTTGTAGATGTTTGTTTATTTATTTTTTACTATTTTTTACATGTTCCTCTAGTTACCCAACATATAAGATAAGTCAAGTCATCATTTAACTCATTTTGCAGTACTTTGGGTCAGGGGCTTCAAACAAGCACATATCCTCTTGAGGTTCTTTTTTCAATAGCATTGGCCATTCTTGGTCTCCTCTTATTTGCTCTTCTTATTGGAAACATGCAGGTTCGTCTCCTCTAAGTTATGGGTTTTTAGGGGGCTGCTCTACTATGATTAGAGATTAAAACGTTTGTTTCGGTCTGACAAACGATAGAATAATTCTCCAATAGTAGTATATGTATTAATATTGATAATTAAAATATAAATAATTATACATCATGATAAAAGCTCATTAAGTTACAAATACCGAATGCAATTTTTTAGATGGAGTATATAAATTTGTGAACTAAAAGGAAGTTAAGTTGACCATATAAGAACCTTATTTTCTTCCCAACATATTTGCGGACGACCTTATCAAAATCATACACAAATCTAGCAAATAAAAGTTTGTAGTTGACATGACAAGAGTGCATGTATTCATTGAGCTTTTATAAAGTACTTACAAGTTACCCATTTTTGGATATATATATATCTTGTGAGATTTACAAAAGTTTGTGTTTTCAATCCAACAGACCTATCTTCAATCTATAACAGTTCGGCTTGAAGAGATGAGGATAAAAAGAAGCGACTCTGAGCAATGGATGCATCACAGAGTATTGCCACCTCAACTCAGGGAACGAGTTCGCCGTTATGAACAATACAAATGGTTGGAAACAAGAGGAGTCGATGAAGAGGGTCTCGTCCAAAATTTACCAAAAGACCTTAGGCGGGAAATCAAACGACATCTCTGTATGAACTTAGTTCGAAAGGTATGCTAACAATAGAATTACTCCAACCAAACTTAGCATGATAGTATTACGTTATACCAATCAAATATAAGAACATCTTCAACACAACACTTTGGTGATGTTTGTTTTTTTGGCATTTCATGCTCAATGACCCTAGCTATATATGACTAGTTTCATTGTTGGCCCAGGTCCCCCTATTTGCAAACATAGATGAGAGGCTGCTTGATGCAATATGCGAGCGGCTGAAGCCAAGCCTATACACGAAAGATACATATGTTGTGCGTGAAGGGGATCCGACCGTTGAGATGCTCTTCATCATTCGAGGTCGATTGGAGAGTGTGACGACTGACGGTGGGAGAAGCGGTTTCTTGAACACGGGCATCCTACAAGAGAGTGACTTTTGTGGAGAGGAGTTGCTGACCTGGGCGCTGGATCCGAAAGCAGGTTCTAACCTGCCGCCCTCAACCCGTACTGTCAAGGCCTTGACGGATGTGGAAGCGTTTGCACTAATAGCCGATGAGGTGAGGTTCATCACCACTCAATTCAAACGAATTCACAGTCGGCAAGTTCAACACACTTTTCGATTTTACTCGCAACAATGGAGGACTTGGGCGGCTATCTTCATTCAAGCAGCATGGCGCCGCCATGTGAAGAGGAAAATCATACAGGTGCTTAGTTCGAGTGATGAAGAGAATGATGAGGCAGCCATGGTATCAATGAATGATGAGGAATATGACCATGACGATGATGAAACTACTGCATTATTAATTAAACGTAACTATAGTGGTCAATCCGGCCATTTCATTATTAATTAAACTACAGTGGCTAATCCATTTGGTTGAGTTTCCAGCCTACACCCATGTCATCTTAAATATATAGTAAAGTGCTACTTGTAATGCTAAAATGAAATTCTAATTTTGTTACTTACAGTTAGAGTTAGAGTTTCGTCACTTTCAATTGTGCCAGTGACACTTTTGGTACTTGACAAATAATAAACTAATACTAACAAAGGGAACTACTAATAATATTAATAATACTATCTTTGTCCCCTGACATGAGTGAGGACAAAGAGATGTGGTGCGGTTTTTAAGAAAAAATAGAATTGTATGGTTGGTATTGAATGAATTGTAATCATCCAAATATTACCAAATTTGGTATGGAACAACCTTAATGGGAAGTGCGAAAAAGGTAAAACGGGAAAAAGTTAAGGAAGTCGAGGAACTAATAAGATATATAACATCATGTTTAACAATAATAGTAGGGACTAGGAAGCCTCCTTCCACAATACTTCTACATGTTCCTTTCAAGCAATTGAGCGTTCAATATAGTCATTTTAAATAGACTCCTAACAATGAGCAATCAACAACTATGTAATATTCATATGGTGCAATTTTAAGGATGTGCAATAGTATGAAATGCCTCCGTTATCCCATCTCATTTTCTTTTAAGTTTTATTTCCATTATTTTCAATGGAGCCAAACACTGGTTATTTTTTGGCTTGGGAATATAATTGAATAAAGCAAAGTGGCTCACTAATTGCTCGCGCTTCTTTGTTATGAAACAACGGTTAGTCCACGCATTTTTATGCAATTTTCACCATGATTCATCCGGTAACAGTCTCTATGTGAATTAGTACATGAAGCCTTTGCGGCACTAGGGTAATGATGATGATGATGATCCATCCACTATTGAGTGAGAGAAAGAAACTTTTAGACCTCGACTTTCGAGTTCCCCACATTTGGTCCCCTAAATATTATCAAATTGACACTTTTAGTCATTTGAATATGATTTTGCCATAATAAGTGGAGGACTAAAAATATCACTATTATAATACTTGAAGGACTAAAAGTATCACTTTTATGAAAGTCTAAGGACTAAATATAGAAAATTTCAAAGACGGCTACCAAAAGTGTCTTTCGCAATTCAAAGTTGAGTACCAAAAGTGTTAGTGTCATAATAGTCGAAGGACTAAGAGTGGTAAAAAATCTTGAAGCTATTTGTACGCTATTCAAGAGTAGTGTTAACTTATCAAATTAAAATTCTATAAAACAAATTGTTTTAATTTTTAGGGACAAAGGTCAGATAGGGCCTCGAACTTACAAAAAAATGTCAAATAAGGTTATATATAGGATGCTCTGTACGTCCGATGCCATTTGGGGTGGTTCCCGGTTCAATTTTTCGATGAAATGATTGAGCATCTTATTCATTAAGTCTAGTTTACTCATATCAAATTTGAACTAAAAATTCAATCGTTAAGGCATTCAAATGAATTCTTGAAAATAACTGCGCAGTTAAAAGCGCAGTTATCTTCAAGAATTTATTTGAATGCCTTCTCGATTGAATTTTTAGTTCAAATTTGGTATGACTAAACTAGACTTAATGAATAAGATTTTCAAAAAAAATATCAAAATATTCCATCGGGAATCGCCACAAATGGCATCGACCGGACAGATCATCTTATATAAGACCTTATTTGACATTTTTTGTAAGTTCTAAGCCCTATCTGACCCTTATTCCCTAATTTTTATAATTAATACAAGAAATAATTACATATTTATGATTAAAATAAATATTGTTTACAAAAATGTGACTAGTGACTATAGTAGTAACTTAATCATAGTAACTTATGTTCTATTTTTAAATTTAAGTGACCATGACACCTACATTTTTAAATTTAAGTGACTATATTGTAGTAACTATTACTCATATTTGTGTAAATAAGTTTAATATTAGTAATAATTTTGAAAAACAAAACCCTTAACAATATATAGCAATTGATTATAATCTCTATAAATAATAATTCCAAATGGTAGATAGGCTATATTATAATCAACACTGAAAATTGTGAAAAAACAAAATGAGTGGTTTATTTTAAGGAGCAAGTATATACTTTGTATTGTTTGATGTTGAGCCTGGGTGGGGATTTTGTATTTTTGTTAGTGCTTTTATCCTTTTCTTTTAAAGTTTTAATATAACCAAGATGTTCACATCTAGGCCTTACTAATCTTCAAGAAGAAGATTATTCTAGCCCCTCGGAACACAGATGCCTAAGGCTAACCGCAACCCAGTCCGTCAATAAATCTAATTCCCCTCCAGTTTATACGTATTCACTCAGTCAATCCAGTTTTTCATTGCAATCCAGCATCGTCAATATATCCACTCAGCACATTTTTTTATTATTAAATGCATAAATCCTTGGTTATTTTATTACACATCATTTATGTGTTAATTTTATTTTGACCAATAATTATTGTTTAAAAACTCAAACATTCCGATGTAAAAAAATAAAAAATGGGAATTAATTTTTTAATGAATTCTTGAAGGCATTCAAATGAATTCTTGAAGATAACTGCTCTTTTAATTGCGCAGTTATCTTCAAGAATTCATTTGTATGTCTTCCCGATTGAAGTTTTAGTTCAAATTTGATATGAGTAAACTAGACTTAATGAATAAGATTTTCAAAAAATTTCATCAAAAAATCCACCGGAAACCGCCCCAAATAGTGTTGGCTGGACAGAGCATCCTAAATATGGCCTTATTTGACATGTTTTTTCAAGTTTGAGACCCTATCTGACCCTTATCCCTTTTATATACTATGTACTTGTTTAATATTAAATTTAAATCAATTGAAACAAATTTAAATTTAAATCAAATCAAAGGTTAAATTTATATAACCTTCAATGCCACGCACAAAACTCATAATGTGAACCACTTTTTCCCTCCTGCAAATGTCAGTCCACTACTTTGGATGTCAGGCCCACCCTCTATACGAGAGTCAATCAGCCGCATAGATACCCCTCCCCTCAGTTTTCTCTATTGGGGATGAGACCTCTATATACTAAAATTCATCTGGGTTGCAGTTGTTTTGGGGTAAAAACTTCATATTTGGGGTTTTCACCCCTTGCATTGCAATCAGCCTAAATAATATCTTCAATTACCGTTAATAAAGAGCCGCTCCCAAGTAATCACTTGCTAAGAACCGCCTCCAATCTAGCGCACCGCTAGTTTAGAATAGGATCAGTCTCCCATGCTATCATATACTTCGTATAACTTCAATATCACTAATAGGTTCCAATACCTCTCCATCAACTAGTTATGCATTCCGAAAATTCTTGTGCTTTGAATTTCTTTCTTATCAGTCTCATGATGAGACATCTGTCCCATGATGGATGTCTTAACCGTGTTTTCCTAAAGTAGTGATGTTACCGGTGGGCGTAGCTCAACTGGTAGCAAAGGAGTGTCACAAGGGTTAGGTCTCGGGTTCGAATTTCGGCAACTGCGATGAGGGGTTACTATGCTAAAATGCATAGGGCCTCTGTAAGTACCGAGGACAGAACCCCACTCTCTATATGTCAGATTGAGATTATAGTCCAATTTACATCCTCTCAACGTACCGTCCGGTCAGGGTTGAGGGGCCCTCAGGGATGGGGTGTCATCCTTTTTTCGCTAAAGTAGTGATGTCCTTTTGCTAGTCTATTCAAATTTCTTTGTTGAATAGTATTGGGAGGTTCAGGTCACTGTATTTTGTTAACAAAATTGCTACTCCTTTTTTATATCATGAAATTTGTTCTCTTAATTTGTCACCACCGCATCAAAATCAAGATTTATAATGTTACGTAAATTATGTTGGTTTATATGTAAGATGGATGAGAGAGATTTGTGTACCTACAAAGTAAAAACTATTGTGAACTTGAAGTTCCTAAATAGCTCGCACACAAGATAGTTTGTGTGCTTATTATAAGCAGGGTCTGAAGCCTTTGTTTGTGGAAGCGTTTTAAAGCCGTGAGGTCCTGCAGTATCAAAGCGGATAATTTTTACAAACTATTTATAACATGTTACCAGCTTGATGCTCGTTTATAACACGTTATCAGCATAACACATTTAAGCAAACACTATTTTGCAAACTGTAAATACTATCAACTAATCAAAACAACAAGGCGATTATGTTGTCATCAATCAGCTTACACAATCATCCAACAACCATTTAATTACCAAACACTCTCAAAGAGTCTAAGGATCCATTCGGTAACACTAAAGTTGACTGAGTTGGTTAAATCTACTGATACAGTTAAGGACACATTTATAATTAATCCCGATAGGGATTTCTCTAAAGTGTACATAAGACATGATAGAAACACAAAATAAATAAAGGGAAAGGGTAGAACAACTAACTAGTTGAGCTCGTTAAATAATACTCCCTCCGTCCCATAAAATTTTTTCCCACTTTCTTTTTTGGGTCGTCCCAAAAAATTCTTACCACTTACCATTTTTGGACAATTTGTGTGGTTCACATTCATTTTACTTTTTTCTTAGACAACTACAACTATAAATTTCCACTTTATTTCACTTTCTTAATCTCCGTGCATGGTCAAAGTGGGAAGAATTTTATGGGACGGAGGCAGTAGAAGGAGGAGGTGAGAGAATGTCAATATGTTAAAACTTGAAGAGAGGCACTCTCGAATTGCATGCCTCTTATGTATTCTTCCGAATCTTCCCCTACATTTCATGTTAATTTTAATTCTCTTTGATATGTGAGCTTGTGTTGCTTCTTTTAGTCCAATACTGCAATACATTAAACATTTGTACTGTTACCTATCATTTGGTATCAAAGCAACGATACAGAGAACAAGGGTTGACCATCATCGAGAGGAACATCAATGAGATGTTAGCTATGGTGGATGACCCAATAACATCATGTTGCAGTAGAATCGACGTCGTTCTGAGGTGCAGAGAACATATCGATAGTCAAAGTTCCATCGCGTCACAAGGTAACTCTTGTAGCTTCCGATCAACCTCCTTCCGACGTGATGCCGGCGATAACAGAAGGAGGATAAATCCCCTCCTCCGTTGTTTTACAGAATCCGCCATATATGTGACTCTTCCTCAGTGCGTCGTAGCAAGAGGTTTTATTTAAAAATCTTTATTCGTATTTGAAATTGAACTTTGCTAATTTTCATACCAGGATGATTAGGATATCAACTTGGCGATTGTGTAGCACGGAAACTATTGGGAACTATTGGGAAGGAGTACGTTTCCGTTTCGAAAACTCTACGGAAACTCGTGGAAACTCTCCAAACAAGCCTTTTTGGTCAACATTTGACGTTTCCCGTTTCCTCATGACATTCACGTTTCTGTGCAACATAGCTTGGCAACATGTCATTATTTGATTGGTTTAAAAGAGTGTGCACCACTACCTCCTCCTCTATTTAGATTTCTCCTAGCACAATAATAGTTTCTCACTTTCACTAGAATTTGGTTAAATTCCATCACTTTCTCTTTCACCTCAACATAGTCTATAGTCTCCAGCTCCTTTACTCAACAAGGGCTTCCTCATCTTCTTCATGAACTGTTACCATTGTGATATTCTCATTGCTTCTCAAAACATCAAATTTTTCATTTTTCAAATCCTTTATCTTCATCTCTATAATCTACGAAGAGTAGTGTTTGTCCCTGATTTGTAGCTAATCTAACAGATATGGAAGCACTGAGATGAAATAGACACTAAAAGAAATTCCATTAGAATGATATTGAAAGATTGGAACAGATGAAATCTCCCAAAGTGCTAATATCGAAAAACTCTTGTGGGGCTACCGTAGAATATAGAGAGGTTAGGCGTTGTACACTCCTAAGCGCATATTTATATATGTAGGGTGTACATCTTTCCTAAAAAGGCTAACCTAGGGATTTGGGTCTTACACATAAATGACCCTCATCCTTAAAAGGTCTATACTATTTATTACTCCGTACAAGATATATCAGATATACCATAAATGGTAAAGTAAAACAAGACTAATTATAACAACTTGATCACAATAAAAATTTATTCAATAATCTCCCTCTTTGTGATCAAGTGCCGTTTTGTTGGTCTTTACTTCTGCTTCTTGAAGTAATTCTTCCTCAATGCTAGAGCGTGCTCATATTGATGAAGAGATCGTCGTTTGTCGAGTTGTTCCTCAATAGCTCTTAGCTTAGGAGAGTCTGTCAAATTTGGCTAGTTCAGCTTTAGATGCATCGACAAGTCTTCGTTCGATTTTCTTCTTTCAGCGGTAGCAGCTTATACCTGATGATCTTCAAAATCCCATCACAATATTTGGCAGTTTCTTCAATCTTCATCAGGCACTTTTTATCTTCATGGTTCAAATTAGGGGTGAACAAAAAACAGAAAAATCGAAACCGATCGACAAACCGACCGAAACCAAACCGACCAAACCCCAAACCGACCCAAACCGATTAATCATTGGCGGTTCAGTTTACGGTTTCACCTTTTCGATTAAAAAACCGACCGAACCAAAATCGACCGACAAAAATCGACAATAACATGCTAAAACCGACTGAAATCAACACAAACCGATCGAAATTATTTGTATATTCTACGTCTATTTAAAAGTTATTTACATTTTTACTTTATATTTTTAACATTTTCACTTTATTTTTTTCAGTTTTCTTATTTTTATTTAATTTTATTTGTTTTAAATTATTTATCTATTTTCACATTTATACTATTTTCTATATTGTTATTACATTATTTTTCAAGTTTTTATGGATTTTATAAGATTTCTCAATAATCTTAATTTTCTAATGTTTTAACCTGTTCGATCTTTCCTAAAACTAATCGAAAAATTGCGTCAAAGTTAAAACTTACGCCGTATTTCCCTCCTATGTTCTCATCGCACCATCACTGATCGCAGGCTCTAAGCTTGTCTAGATAACCTGTTCTGTTGGATGCAGCTGGTCAATGAACCAACAAGTAGTTGTGGATTTATCTCGAAAAACATGAAACAGAGGTTTTAAGTTTATGGTTTTATGTGTACAATAAACCGTAAAGAATGGAGGAAAACGAAAAGAGTGAAGTTTTTTTCGAGACACGCCGTCATGCTTCAAGGCCTTACTGCTCCAATTATCCTCCTGCAATCACAAATCAGCAGAAAGAGGTGCGCCTGCAATCTACGACCTCATTGGTTTGGCTCCTAATTTTTTATTTCAGGTATCGGTTGTTGGTAAAGCTTACTTTATTTTTATGTGATGTCAATTTAGCTGAAAGAAGGTGCCAGTGGGAGTTACCTCTCAAGATTGTTTCATTCACGAGGTATAGTCAGCTTTTGCAGAATATTATCTGTATTATGTTTGTTGTTTGATGCTTCGCGTTATTTGAAGTGAACTTTTGGGCATTGGAATAACACCCGGAATTGATGTTTGAAGTGAACTTTTGTGCATTAGAATAACACCCGGGCTTGATGTGTCACTGCCCAAGGGAAGAAAATCATACTCCCTATTGAGTTTATGGGATCATGATCCTCATTGTTTTAATGTTTCTGAAGATTCGGGGAATATATACTAGATTTTAAATGCACAATTTTATAAATTCCTTGTCAAAGAAAATGTGATCGATTGCTTGTCTTTGCCAAATTGTAGTCCTTTTATGCCCTTTCCCCGAAAACCTCTATGCATTATTTTCATTTTATGTGAAGGTATTGCTCATATTAAGGAGAAATGGAGCAACAACAAACCTTCAAAAAGATCAAGGAATTGTGCATCCCTGTTTGTTTCTGCTGGGGGTGATCTTGTGGCTGTAGCAACCAGGAACCAGATAACAATATTGAGGAAGGAGGATGACTACCAGGAACCTTGTGGAGTTTTTACCTGTAAGGATCATAGCCTGCAATGCATCTGTTAAGACACCCAATACATCCGAGGGCTTTAAATAGGAATTACATGATACTAGTACGTTACTAAGTCATTTTTAGTCATACCTCGTTTCTTTTACACTTCCAAATCAACGCTGCATTATTTTCTAGTTACATATTTTCTTTATTTTCTTTAATTTATTTGTGGTGGGGTGGGGTCCGGTAATCACATTGCCCAGGAAAGGAGGCCAGGATAGAAGTAGACGATCTCATGTAGTCATGTTTAATTTATTATTCACAAATTTACATTCGCAACATTCTTAGTGTTGTTCCATACATAAGTGGCTGGCTGATCATATAAATATTAATTGCTAATAACTTGTAAATTTAGCCTCACCATTGTTCTTTTACTTTGAAATAGGTGAAAATAATGCTGTATTTATATTTGGGGCTTGGGCAGAAACTCATGATGTTCTTGGTGTTGTTGATGTTGGAAACATGCTATATCTAGTTAGAGCTAATGGTGAAGAGATAACCAGATTCTCAAAGAGGCATTTGAAAGTTTCTTCACAAATAGTAGGTTTAGTTGTTCAAGATGATGTCAATGTGAAGACATCATGCTTGTAAGTTGGTCTTTATTTACTCCATCATATATATTCTGTAGAACACATAATATGCTATAATGTTCTAAAAGCACTGAAAAATAATATTTCAACAATAGGTTTCTTACTCTATACGTATCAATTTTTGAATCCTTTTTAGGTGTACATTCAGTGTTTTCACTTCGGATGGTTCAGTTCATGATGTTGAGATCAGTCAAGATCCTGATGTTTCTGTTTTCTCTAGAGCCTTATCAATCAGTGACTCAATAGATAAGCATCAATTCCATCAGTATGTTGTCTGCCTGGATTACCATCCAAAACTGTCTTTGTTAGCTGTAGTAAATCATGCTGGCAGTACACAATCAGCTACTAATGGTAGTGGCATTAATCGTATTTTTCATTACCAATTATTGGCCTGGTAAAATGATTAATTCTCATTATCTGCATTGGAACTCCTTTTCCAGGAGTGTACAGTGTTTCTCTCTGGCAGAAAAACAAGCACTTAGATCTCAAACAGGTGGTTTCTGCTCAATTTGAGGGCTCAAATTTTATTTCAAAAGGTAATGCCGATCAAATGGCACTGCCAAAGGTGCGAATTTCAGTGCAAGGAAAATTTGTTGCTGTTTTGGATGTGGAAGGGCATTTGGTTGTTCTAAAGTTTGATAATAAACTTCAATCTCTCACATTTACTACTGGAGCGGGACACAAGTCGGATCTAATAAATAGTGGCCTAAGTTTGGCAAATATACACTTCAATGAGATAGTGGATTTTGCCTGGTGGTCTGATAATATTCTTACTTTAGCAGCAAGGACTGGTACTATCACCATGTTTGACATGTATGCGGGCATCAATGTATTGGAGACTGATATTAAATATTCACTGCCACTTCTGGAAAGACCACAAAATCTCTCTGGAAACCTTTTCCTTTTAGAAAGCAAGTCACTTGATGGGAGCTACACATCGTCAGAAGAAAAGGGTGCAAGAGATATGCATCTTATCGAGTGGGATGCTGTTTATGCGAATAACCAGTTTGATTGGACCAAACTGGAGTGGAGCTTGGTCTCATTATCTGAACGATCAGTTCTAGAAATGTATAACATACTAATTTCTCAGCATGAATATCAGGCTGCTCTCGTTTTTGCAGAGCATCATTCTCTGGATAAAGATGAAGCCCTGAAGTCACAGTGGCTCCATTCTTCCCATGGAAAAAATGAAATAAATACTTTGCTGGCAACTATCAAAGATAAAGTTTTTGTGCTCTCTGAATGTGTTGATCGGTTTGGACCAACAGAAGATGCAGTGAGGGCTTTGCTTGACCATGGATTCCACCTGACAGACTCTTATAGGTTTTCCAAGACCGAGGACATTGAGCAGGATGAAATATGGGATTTCCGGCTGACAAGGCTGAAATTGTTACACCTGAAAGACAGGCTAGAGACATTTCTTGGCATAAACATGGGCAGGTGGGTCTTTTGCTTTTAGCTTTTTTTAGAAGCTAGTTTTATTATGCACTTTGCTGTAGACATGGCGGTGCTCCTTTTGATCTGATTCTAATGAATTCATATTTTGGAATTGTTGGGGAATGGAAGGGGATTTAAGCTGGAAGATTCATTCTCTTTGTGTTTGATTGCCTTTGTTTCTCATTTGCTCCCTTTTGGTTTAGTTCTCATTGTTCTACTGATTTGCACAGTGCCAATTGTGAATGGCATATTTATTTTAATAGCTTGTGATCTCAGTGTATTTATTTATATCTCTACTAAAGTTGTTCCAAATGACTTGGAACTAATGACATAGAGTTTTGCAGGTTTTCTGTGCAGGAGTACAAGAAATTTTGCAACCTGCCCATCAAAGAAGTTGCCATTGGACTTGCAGAAGGTGGAAAGATTGGGGCTCTAAACCTTCTCTTCAAGCGTCATCCTTATTCTTTGACTTCTTGTATGTTGGATGTCTTGTCTGCTATCCCTGAAACTATTTCTGTTCAAACATATGGACAGCTACTTCCTGGGAATTCCCCTCCAAATATTGCTATAAGGGAAGACGATTGGGTTGAATGTATTGAGATGTTTACTTTCATCAGCAATCTCCCTGAGAATCACGAGAACAGTACTCCGATAAGTACTGAACCAATTGTCAAGCAATCCATGGGGTATCATTGGCCTTCACTTACTGAACTGTATTCATGGTATAAAAATAGAGCCAGAGATATCGATACCTTAAGTGGGCAGCTAGACAATTGCATCTCTTTAATTGATTTAGCTATTCGGAAAGGCATTAATCATCTAAAGCCATATTTAGAAGAGATCTCCTACTTAAAAGAACTTATATATAGTGAAGAAGGTGACAACACAATGAATTCTTCTTTGAGTCTTTCGACTTGGGAAATTTTGTCTGATTATGAAAGGTTTAAGTTGATGCTAAGTGGGGTCAATGAGGAAATTGTTATTAGGAGATTACATAATAAAGCGATCCCATTCATGAAGAAGAGGCTTCACTCTATGAATGTAATTCCTGACTCAGCTGAGGAGCTACCCTCCTCTTTCGTGAACTCGGCTGAGTCTTTTCTGGTCAGATGGCTGAAAGAGTTTGCTTCGCAGAATAAATTGGAGGTGTGCTTAATTGTAATTGAAGAGGGATGCAAGGATGTTCATAATAATTGTTTTTTCATAGATGAAGCTGAAGTTATAGACTGTGCTCTGCAATGCATATACCGGTGCTCCGTTACAGATAGATGGTCTACTATGGCTTCCATCTTGTCAAAACTTCCAAACATAGGAGGTAAAATCCCGTCATATTGAATGCTTGCATAATTTCCCGAGTTTAAAATGGCCATTGGTATTTTCTAATTTTATGACTTCTGTTGAACGCTTTTCTGTGATGAATTTTTTTATCGAGTGATAGTATATACAATGCTCATTTTTCAAAGAAAGCGTCAGTTGCAAAAAGTTTTGCCTTTTTTCCACACCCTCTAATTTTGGGAGGTGTGTGTCACTCTTTAGATACACTTTTTCAGAGCAAGAAACGATTTGATAATCTAATAATCTGCACATTGTTGTTTTTTAATAAAGGCACTGCAACAATACTCCAACAAGAATTCATTTTCCCAATATATTAGCGGTTGCCTCCTCCTCTTTCTCTTAGTCATGATCTGCTGCATCTTCCAGTTGTTCACCCTCAGGTATCCCACAAAGATTTTGAGGGGGGGGGGGGGGGGGGGGAACTAGGCTAAATGAAATACATTTTTTAAATATTTGTTGATATTAATTTTATTAATTTACTGCTTATATTAATAATTCATTTTCATTTGCATTTCCTAAGGTAAAAGAAAACACAAAACTACTTGGCATTTACCCATCCCTCAGCATTTTCCATGATCCAAACATACCTTTCAGTGTCGAGTAAAGATGGAATAGTTTGTCTGGTCGACATTAAATGCATTGTTAAATCTCCCTGCACTTTCCATAGTGGATCTTGACATATTTATTCGAATTAATATATGAATGATTTAGCAGAGTTTGACGATGCACGTCTCAAGGAAAGACTTAAACTCTCAGAAGGTCATGTTGAAGCGGGAAGGCTTTTAGTATATTATCAGGTTCCAAAGCCTATTAGCTTTTTCCTTGAACCTGATTCAGATGGAAAGGGAATAAAGCAGATTCTCCGTCTTATACTATCCAAATTTATTCGTCGGCAACCGGTTCAAACAGATAATGATTGGGCAAACATGTGGCGCGACTTACTATATTTGCAAGAGAAGGCATTTCCCTTCATAGACTTGGAATATGTCTTGATGGAATTTTGCAGGGGGTTACTGAAAGCTGGAAAATTTTCACTTGCCAGGAGCTATTTCAGGGGTGCTGGTTCTGTATCGCTTGCATCTGATAAAGCAGAGAATCTTGTCATTCAAGCTGCACGTGAGTATTTCTTTTCAGCATCAAGTCTTGCATGTTCTGAGGTAAGTGGACTCTATGGCTTTACTCTTTACCATGTAGATTGCACTAACTCATATCTGTACTTATACAGTTATACGTCCTATTTACCTTGTCAAGGTTGGTATACTTGGAGCTTAAGATGTTGAATAATGTGAAAGGCACATGATACTATTTTGTTGGAAATATGTTCAAGTATTTTTAGTCTTTTTTTTTAAAATTATCTTACTCGATACTACTTCTGAGTTCTGTCCCCAAAACATGAGTACAGTTAAATATGAAATTTCATGGCATTTTCATTGTCCTAGTTTAACAAAAGAAACTATTTTTCATTAAACTTAATGTACATTTTCCAAATAAAGTGTTCCAAACAAGCTAAGTATGTTAGCTTTAGTTTGAAAACAAATTAATGCAAAGATAGACTACCTCCATTCTTTTTTAATTGCAACATGTTCAATTTTACACTATTCACATGCTCTACATTGACTACTTTGAAAATTATTGTTAAGTTACTCTCATTTTAAATTTTCAAAATCTGATTTTTCTAATATTTTCCTAATAAGGAATGAAATATATTAATGGTAAAACTTGTGCGTTGGCAAACGTGAAAATTGGAACGTTGCAACTTAAAAAGAATGGAGGAAGTAATTTACAAGAGTACAAGACTTGTAGCTTACTAAAAGTGGGAAGTTCTAATTTTCATTAAACTAATCTAAATTTTCCAAATAGGTTGTCCTAAACAAGCAAAGTATGTTAACTTTTGTTTGAAAAACAAATATTTGTAAAAACATACGAAGTATTTAGGAATTAGGATTGATAATTTACAAGAGTTGTCCCTTACGAAAAGTAGAAAGTTGTAACTTGACGAAAAGACTTCTTCTTTTGAATGGAGGGAGTAATTGAATAGATTATTAAAAAAAGTAAATTTGTGATGATCAAGTCTTGAAACATGCAGATCTGGAAGGCCAAGGAATGTCTCAACATTCTGCCAAACAACAGAAGTGTGATTGCTGAGGCCGATATCATTGATGCTGTAACTGTTAAGCTTCCAAACCTTGGAGTGAGCCTCTTACCAATGCAATTCAAGCAAATAAAAAATCCAATGGAAATTATCAAGCTCGCAATTACAAGTCAAAGCGGAGCGTATTTGAATGTTGATGAAATCATAGAAATAGCCAAGCTTCTTGGTCTGAGTGCTCAAGATGACATATCAGCTGTACAAGAAGCCATTGCAAGAGAAGCTGCAGTTGTTGGGGATCTTCAACTGGCTTTTGAACTTTGTCTTATTTTGGCCAAAAAGGGGCATGGATCTGTTTGGGATTTATGTGTGGCACTGGCAAGAGGCCCCCCTCTAGATAACATGGACATAAGTTCTCGAAAACAACTGTTCGGGTTTGCTTTGAGTCACTGTGATGGAGAATCAATTGGAGAGTTATTGCATGGATGGAAAGATCTTGATATGCAAATGCAGTGTGAAGATTTAATGATAAAAACAGGAAAAGAACCTCGACCCATATTCATTCAGGATTCTCTTGATCAGGAAGCACAACTTAACCTCATAAAGGGATTGCTTTCTCAAGTGGCAAAAGATTTACACTTAGGTGGTGATGTTGTTTCTGAATCAATTCTTAGAGACAATGGGAGAATACTACCATTTGCTGCTATGCAGCTTCCTTGGTTGATTGAACTAACTCAAGAAGCTAGGAATGGTAAGAAACGTAGCAGTGTAAGAACACTAGCAATCATTGCTATTTTGTCATGGTTGGCATGTAATGGTTTTGCTCCGAAAGATGACGTGATTGCATCGCTGGCAAAGTCAATTATGGAACCACCTGTATCTGAAGAGGAGGACATCGCAGGGTGCTCATATTTGTTAAATCTTGTCGATGCGTATTATGGAGTGGGAATAATTGAAGAAAGTTTGAGAAGTAGGGAGAATTATAGTGAAAAAACTAGCATTATGAATACTGGGATGATTTATGGTCTACTGAACAGCAGTGGAGCCAAGTCTGAAGAACCTGCTCACCGGAGAGAGCTAATTATAAGGAGTTTTCAACAGAATAAGTCAATCACTTCAGGTGATGTTTTTTGTAGCCCATGTATTGAAATTCTCTACTGGTGCTTCTAATATCTTTTATTTTAATTTATTTCTAAATTCAGATGAGAGGGATAGAATAGACAAAGCCCAATCCACATTCTGGAAGGAATGGAAAGTTAAACTGGAAGAGCAGAAGCGTTTGGCTGACCATTCAAGGGTTTTGGAACAAATCATTCCTGGTGTTGAAGTGAAACGCTTTTTGTCTGGAGACTCGGACTACATTGAAAGCGCCATTCTATCACTTATTGATTCTGTAAAACCGGAGAAGAGACATATATTGAAGGATGTATCCAATTTGGCACACACCTATGGTTTAGATCGGTGCAAGGTATGCGTGTGTTCCTGTACCCCAGGTTGTTTAGCTTAATGCAACTGACCATTTCAATGTCATTTTGAAATCTCTAACGGTCCATTTGGAACTCGGTAAATAAAACAGGGGGGGAAATAGAGGGATAGTTTGGAAGGAAAAAATGTGGGGTAAAATAAAAATTTGGTTCACTCAATTAATCAAATTCAGCTATTTATTCACTCAATTTTGTTTATAGATTTCTATTTTATAAAGACTTGAGATGTGTAAATATATTTAGAACAATTTGAAAGTCTAGTGAAATATGGTGTTCCTTCAGATTTTTAAATGTAAAGCTAAACATAAAAGAATCATTTTCCTCTGCATTTTCACCTTTGCCTGCCATTTCCAAGTTCCAGAATAGTCTAACTGTTGTTCATCATGCTCTGTTCCTGTTATATAGCTGATCCTGCAGTACTTGAAGTCCATATTCATTTCTGAGGCTTGGAATGTTCATGATCTAATATCTGAAGTGTCAGAGTTTAAAGGAGAGCTTCATGGATTTGCCAGGGAAACTATTAAATGTTTCTCTTTGTTCATCTACCCTTCACTTAATGGGCATGACAAGGGTCGACTTTCTTTCATGTATGACATACTCTCTGATTGCTGCTCAATGCTCTCAGAACAAAATGAAGCAATACCTATCATGGATCAAGATTCTGTGTATAGAAGAACTTCAACTTGGTTTGTCCGCTTTTACAAAGTTTCTGCAGAAGAATGTAACACAGTGTCATCTATTGCGAGCTTGAACTTTAAAAACATTGCTGGATTGCAAGGTTTGAATTTGGAAAGCTTCAATGCGGAAGTCTGTTCACACATAAATGAAGCCTATGTTGATCTTTTGGCCAAGATGGTCAAGAGACTTGTTGAGGCTTGTGAAGATCCAGTGCCAGATGGCATCCTGTCATGGCAGGACGTCTATAGACACCATATACTAGATTTGGTAACTGCTTTGGAGACTAAGGAAAAGTCAGAAACTGCACATCTTGAAAACCCTGAATTCTTCCATAGCTTTCTAACTCAGATCGAGCAAACCTATGATGTTGGTAGAAAGTATCTAAAGTTCATCTCCACCCCTTTAGTCATTGAGATAACTAAACGGTTCTTGACTGTGGTAGTGCCTTCTGTGAAAACTTTTAACCCTGGTTGGAAGGAAAGCCTCGTCTTGTTTGTGGATATCTGGCTCAGAATTCTGAATGATCTACGGGAGATAATTGCATTTCCTTCCAATTTATCAGAGAAGGTTGATTCAGAATTTTCAGTCATATGCCTTAGAACTTTACAGAACCTCATCGTCAAAGAAAAAATATCACCAACCCAGGGTTGGGCTACTGTTTTGTGCCTTCTTACTAGCGTTGGTTATGGTGCATTAGAAGCTTCTGTGGAGATCTATAATTTCTTCAGGGCAATGATAATTACCGGCTGCACGTTTGAAGCCATTTCTGATGTATTTTCTGAGGCAACAATATGTGAAAGAACACACGATCTTCAGCATCTTTATCTAATCATCTTAAATCCCATTATGCAAGATCTGTCAAGTCAATCCCCTGAGGAGTATTATCACCTACATCACTTTTTGGCATCTTTGAGCAGATTAGAAGGTGATATAGAGACCCTACAGAGCATAAGGAGGGCAGTGTGGAAAAGAATGGCTGAATTTTCAGACAACTTAGAGATTCCTAGCCATGTTCGAGTTCACATATTGGAAATCATGCAATTCATTTCAGTTTCTTCCTCTTCTAACAATAGTAGGCATAATGATAATAGTTATAATGATAATAATAATATGAAGAAAGGGTTTTCTTCTGGGATTCATACTACCAACCTTCTTCCTTGGGAAGGTTGGGTGAATCTGCAAACTGCAAATAGCAAGGAGACGAATGATGAGATTCCAAACACTTTGGCTGCACTCAAGTCTACACATCTTGGGCGTGCCATCTTACCTACACTCGAGATCACACCGGAAGATCTTCTGAATGTTGAAACAGCTGTTTCCTGTTTCCTCAAAATATCTTCATGTGCAGTATCAGAATCTCATGTTAACACTTTGCTTGCTATTTTGAGAGAGTGGGAGGGTCTCTTTGCTACTGGAAAGGCGGAATTGGTCATTGCATCTGACAGTGGGAATAATTGGGGAAATGATGAGTGGGACGATGAGGGATGGGAAAGCTTTCATCAAGAAGATAAAGTTGAGTTGGGAACGGAGAAAGATAAGACCTTTTCTATCCATCCGCTCCATGTGTGCTGGATGGAGATCTTTAAGAAACTACTAGCGATGGCTCGATTCAAAGATTTGTTGAAATTGGTTGACCGGTCCAATGGAAAAAGTAACCAAACATTGCTTGATAAGGAATGTGCTTATAGTTTGAGCCAGACTGCACTTGAGATAGACTGCTTCTTATCACTCAAACTGATGCTTCTGTTTCCATACAAGGAAATTCACTTGCAGTGCTTAGATGCAGTTGAGAAAAAGTTGAAAAACGAAGGCATTTCGGATGACATCAGCCGGGACCACGATTTTATGATTTTAGTTTTATCATCCGAAGTCGTTTCAACTGTTATGTCCAATTCTTCGTATGGCACAGTTTTCTCGTACCTCTGCTATATGGTTGGAAGCCTCTCACGGAAGTCCCGTGATTCTTGGGCACTTGAAGCTGGTGATGTGAATGAAATGTTTGTATTTACAAAAGTTGTGTTCCCGTGTTTCATATCGGAGCTCATAAATGCAGAGCAGCAGATTCTGGCGGGACTTCTGGTCACTAAATTCATGCACGTGAATGCTTCTGTGAGTCTAGTTAATATTGCAGAGGCTGGCCTTAGGAAGTATTTGGAAACAGAGATCAATGTTCCTTTGAGTATTGAGTTGTCTCAGGATAATCAGGATGGTTCTGAGTTGTTAGCTTACTCCCTCTCCAATTTAAGGGGTAAACTGGGAATTTTGATGCGGTCTGCATTGTCTTTGCTTTCTGTTGATGCCCGAGGATAAACCTTGAGATTTTTTTGGAGGAGTGGGGTACACAGCCGAAAGGGATATAAATCTTGAGATTGTTCATTCTTTATGTTTTGTTCTTGAGTGTTTCTTTTAATGGAGGAATGAAAAAGATATATGTTTTCATATCTGCTAGCCGTCAACTACCAATTTGTTTACTCCATAGAAATGTTCAGCTCACGATATCCATCCTATACGAAGTGACTGACCTAGCTTAGGGGTCATTCTGGGCCTGAACCCCACCAGTTTGGTAAATTTTTTATATTTTATGTAAACGGCTTCGTGTAATTATACGAGAGAATTATTTATCAGTCCATTACAATATTTTATCCTGCTTACACTATGCACAAAGGACTATTATTGGCTAAAGAGTGTTCATCACATGATTTATGATTAAAGTGATTAACTAGCATAAGCCTTTGGTTAAAAAAAGATTGTCTATCATTAGCTAATTGCACCGATAAGCTATAAGAGTGGCAATTACTCAATATTTTGTAAAGAAAAAATTCCACTTTTGGTCACAGAATTATTATGTCACTTCCACATTTTGTACCATACTTCCGATTTCGCCACATCTTATCCCATTGTTTTCTCTCGTTATCATTCCTCGTCCTTCCGGTGATAAGTCCGACGGGGTTACCGGTTTTTGCTTTTAATGAAGGTCATTTTAGTAAAATCAAGTTCCTTTTAAACAGGTAACTATCACCTAAGCCTCTCTCCTTCTACTATACACTCTGTAATTTCCATTTCCCCTTCAACGGGTGTGAGAAGCCCTAGAACGTAATCTAAGGATGAGAACGCGATTTACTGAAGTTCCAACAATTGGAATGGGGCGAAGAGGACATGGAGAAGGGACGAGTGTGGAAGACAACCAGAAAGGTAAGAAATTTATCTGACCTAATTTTGGTAAGAAATTTTGTGAAAATGTGTATGAATGATGTGGGTAGAAAATTAGGTGAAGTGGTAAAGACAAACTTAATGTTTTTTATGATGTTGGAGAAGGTAGGATAGGGTTTATCTGCAGTGAGATTCTCTTTTCCCTTTATCTTTTTGGATTTGACAAATGGGACCAGATTATTTTTCCTTTTTTACTTTATCTAATGGTTTGTGGAATGGTTTGTGTGTAGTGTACTTTGAAAAAATTGTATTTTTGATGTTTGTATTGTGTATGTATTTATTATGTGGCTGTGTGTACCACTTTGAATGATTGACCTACCACATTGAATGCCTTTTTTTAAACAGCCCCATGTGAGACTACGTTTAGTCTCAAGCTGTTGTACGGAGGAAAAGTCCATGGCACTGCCAGACCTGCTTACAGGGGAGGCACTACTCATCTGTTTCGTGATCTAGATGTGGATGAGTTTGGTCCAATTGTCCTGAAAGAGAAACTACAAGAACTTGGTTGCACTGATAAGGTAAGAAGAGTGTTTTCCTATTTAGATTCTTCATTAGAAGAATTGAAAGGTGACTTAGAGATTTGGGCCTGTGTGAATAATGGAAATGTGGGTAGAGTTGTGGAGATTTGGGTTGAGTTAGAAGAAGGAAATTTCTTAGAAGAAGAGAATGAAGGTGGAGATGGTGATGATGACTTCTCTGGCAGTGATTGTGCTTACAGTGAGGAGTTAGAAGATTTTTCTGGGGATGATGAAGATTCAGATCTAGGGGACTTTGTTTCTAAAGATGATAGTGATTTTTCCAATAACATTGATCCAACAGATGAGTATGGAGGGCTGCACACCAACACTGAACAAGAAAACATAGAAAACCATCCATCATGGGTAGATCCTGAACCAAACTTTGAAGATGATGCTTCCATTCATGGTTCTGATTCTGATGGTGATAAGTGGAGTGATTTCTGTGCTCGGACTGATATGCAAAATCCTACCTTCAAGCCGAGACTAACCTTTGCTACCAAGAAAGAATTTAAAGAAGCAGTTGAGAATCATGCTTTTAAGACAGGTAAGGACCTAAAGTTTTCAAAAAGTGATAAGGCAAGAGTTGTTGTCAAATGCAAGCACTTAGACTGTCCATGGAGAATTAACCTCAGAAAGGTAGCAAATTCCCACTCTTGGAGGATACTACAGTATCACAGAACACATGAAGGGTGCTCTTGGGTGTATCACAATAAAATGGTTAACTCAACAAAGGTTGCTAAGAGGTGGTTAAAGGAGATCAAAAGTCACTCCAACTGGAAGAACAAAGAGTTCATGCAAAAGGTATGTACTGATGAAAGGTTTCATGTGACTCAAAGGTAGGCTTATAGAGCAATGAGCAAGGCTAAAAGGTTGCTTAGAGGTGAAGAAGATGACTACTTCAAAAAAATGTGGTGTTATGTGGCTGAAATAAGGAGGAGCAATCCAATGAGCACATGTGTTGTTAAATTAAGTGAAAACGTAGAGCTGGATGGGCAACAAAGATTCTTAAGGATGTACATGTGTTGGGAAGCATCTCGAGAAGGCTTTAAAAGTTGCAGACCAGTACTAGGTGTTGATGGAACTCATCTGAAAACCATGACGGGGGGGGGGGGGGGGGGGGGCAGTTATTAGTGGGAGTTGGGGTTGATGCAAACAATAGCATATTTCCATTAGCATATGCTATTGTTGAGGGGGAAACAAAGGAGTCTTGGTCCTGGTTTTTGAATCTAATAAGAAGAGATGCTGATATCACAGAAGATAATGAACATCTATTCACATTCATGTCTGACAAGCAAAAAGGTCTGATTCAAGCTGTGACTGAGTTGTTTCCAAAGGTTGAACATAGGTTCTGTGTAAGACATTTGCATGGGAACATGAAGGTGGTTGGGTTTCATGGTAAAAGTGTAAAACAATCAAAGACAGTCTATGGGAATGTGCTAGAGCTTGTACTGTCAATTCATTTAAGGCTGCTCTTACAAAGGTAAATGAAATAGATAAAAAAGCTTTTGAGTGGCTGGTAGATAAAAATCCAAGGGAATGGTCAAAGTCTCATTTCTCCACACACTCCAAAACTGATATGCTCACAAACAACATATGTGAGTGTTTCAATGGTGTGATCTTAGATGCAAGACAAGAGGCCATTCTGGTTTGCTTAGAATCCATAAGGAAACTTTTACTTACAAAACTTTTTACCATTAGGGAAAAAGCAAAGAAATGGACCTCCTATGTATGCCCCAGAATAGTAAAAAAGATAAAAGAAATTGAGAAGTTTGTTGCAGGTTTGATAGGTTATCAGTGTGGAGATAATGAGTTTGAGATTACTGGGATGAGTGGTACCCAACATGCTGTAGATTTGGAGAAAAAAAGTTGCACATGCAGGGTGTGGGACCTAACTGGCATCCCATGCAAGCATGTTATATGTGCTATTTGGCTGAAGTTTGGAAAAGGGCCGGTAGATGATTATGTGCACCCATGTTACACAAGGGAAGTTTACCTGAAGATATATGCTGGGTCAATAAAACCAATGGCAGGGCCTGATGAGTGGCCTCTTTGTGAAAGAAGAGCACCTCTTCCACCTCTGTATTCAGCCAGACCTCGAAGACCACGAAAGCTTAAGAGGAAATGAGCTATTGATGCATTGCTGAGTACAGATGGAGTGAAAGTGTCAAGAACACACTTTAAGATGCATTGCTCAAATTGTAAGAAAGAAGGGCATAATGTTAGGAGGTGTCTGGATGATCCTAAGAACAAAGAAAAGCAGGTAAACACATATTGCACTCATTTTGATTATTCTCTTATTCATACACTCTTATGTATAACCACATCTTCTTCTTATTTTTTTTATACTTAGTTGCAACCTAGGAAAAGAAAAAGAAAATCCACAGCCAAGCACACTGTGGGTACCAAACATGGTGATGGAGATGCTAGAACACTTATGGTTGATGGAGTGGGTACCGTGGATGGATCAACTACGGTTGATGGAGAACCAACAGTTGATGGAGCACCTGTGCTTGATGGAGCAACAATTGAAGACCTATATGAGGATAACTTGGTGGATGTTACTTTGGACTTTGCAGAGTCTCCTTCTATGGAAACTGAATTTCCTATGGTTGTTTCAATGGAGGACACATCAATGTTTAGTGAAGACACTGAGCAAGGCATTTATGAACACAAAGAATGTGAAAAAGAGAATGAGGGGGGAAGTGGAGAACACACTGAGGAAACTGATGATGACTGCAGTAAGGAGATAGAGGTGAGAAATCCTCATGGGGCCAGGATTAGCTATGGACCACCCACTGATTCAAAGACCTCAAAAGGTCAGAAGTCAGAACTAAAAAGAACCAAGCCTCAGAAGCTGGACATTAAGAAGAGATCAACCTATAGCACCAGATCCAAAAGCTCTTTCAAGTCTATCTTTTTTGGGAATGATGCAGACCCAATAGACCTAGAGTAGTTTAATATGTAATGTGTAATATGTAAGTTTAAAATAACCCATCTGTATTAAACATCTTATCTGGTTGTCTTTTGTACTGAGGATGCCATACTCAGCCTTTTGTACTATGGAATATGAAACATCTTATCTGTCTTTTATTGAGGATGCCATACCCAACTTGTTCTGTTTGTAATCAGGTTCTATGTATTCAGTTTGTGTTGATGTTGTTGTTATGGGTTGTTATGGTTTTTCTTCATGTTTTTATGCTTTAGGTAGTATGTTTTGTTATGCTTTAGGTTATAAAAAGAGACCTGTGTTTTCAGCAGCTTGGTTTTCAGTTTGTGTTCATGGTGATTCTTAGTTTACCTGTGTGTTAAGATTGTAAACTACCAACACCTTATGAGAACATGTAAACATAATAAAGTCACTTGCAAATCAGTTTGAAGTAACAATCAACTGCTGCTTAATACATCAGAAAAGTCGCATTAAGATCACAACATACAAGACAAACTATTACATATATGCGTACATGGATACAAAAACAACAATTGTTACAAAACACACAATCTGAATGAATTTAGTGTTTTTTTCTTCAATTTGTATTTCTTCTTTTCATTTACTTGTAACTCTTCCACCTTCAAGTGCAATATCTTCATTTGGTCTTCATAGTCATTCAATTTTTCAGCAACCCAGGAATAATTTTCTGTGACCTCTTGCACATTGGAGGGTCAAACCAGTCCATGAAGCCACACCCCTGACATCTCTGCGAATTGAGGTTTCTGGTTAAATAAGAATTGTTCAAATAACCTTCTCCCACAGTTATCATGTTTCCATGTGGTCAAAAGCTTCATTTCAAGCCCACAGTGACAGTGCTGAACCGGAATCCATTCTCCATATTCATACTGACCTATTGATTTTGAAGAAGAAGAATAACTGGTAGACATTTTGGGTTGTTTGTGTTTCACCGGTGAGAACAACGACAGGGTAGAACGAAGGAGTTGATGGCTGAGGGCCTCCGATTTAGGGTTCAAAGGAGAGGTAGAAGATGATGGTAGAATAGCTATG